ACCATTATATTTCGTGAGCAACAAATTCAGAAAATATCTCTGCACCAAATTAAAGCGAGTAACAAATTTTTTACTGCCGTATTTTATTTTTGTACCGCCTGCACGCTAAGAGATTTTTCATTATTATTTTCATTTATTTCGTAGGTAACGGATTTTAAATTTAGATATTTCTACACGAATTAGCAACAAATTCCTACGTTATTTTTAAGTAGAAAGTCGCAATATGTATATTATTCCGCTAACTTAATCTTCCTTTAGCGGAACATCATTTTTTTTTAAATTTACAAAGCAACAAACATTTTCAATAACTTTTCAGTGACAAATGAGCAAATAAAAAATATTAATACAAATAAAAATATTAATTTGAATTGATTCTGCTCACTTTGTTCCACTAACTTATAAAGATAGACTCTAAACGCGTCAATAATACTAATCAATAATACTGAATCAGTAATATATTGATAACATGCATCAATATTTTCAGTATTTTTTACAATCTTATGCGATCAGTATTGTTAAAAATATGTTTTACGTACATTATCTATTGTACTGTGACATATTGTGACATAGATCCTATAATAAAGCGATAATCAAAATCTAGATTGTCATCAATATTCTACATCAATCCATCAATATTAACCGCACACGATCAGTATAATATTGTCAGTATTTGTTAAAACTGACAAGTATTGAACGTGTAAAGTCATCTTAAAACGCTCAGTTATTAGGACTGCTCGAGTTGTATCAATATACAGGGTGACATTAAATTACCATATCACCCAGCAGATAGAGCGGACTAAAGTCGAAAAGTCCTGTATATTTTGCAATAGTTAACAAGATTAATTACTAAAAATCGCTAAATATTAATATTTAATAATTTTTTACTCAAATACTATCAACTTTACAGAAAAACAGTAAGAGATAAAAATTATTTATTTTCTTCTCATAAAGTTCTGAGAATTTTTTCAGAATTTTTTCAGAATTTTTTAGTACCATATTTTCTCATGTTGGTAAAAAGAAAACTATTAAAAAGTTGATAAAAAATTCTAAAAAAATTCAGAGTTCTATGGGAAAAAAATAAATAATTTTTATCTCTTACTGTTTTTCTGTTGATAGTATGTGAGTAAACAATTATTGAAGACCAATAGCGATTTTTAATCATTGCGAAAATTGCAAAATAGAGAGTAGAGTACTTTTCGACTCAATTTAGTCTGCTCTACTTGCTCAGGATGGGTGGTGCGGTAATTTTATACCACCCTGTATGTATTCGAAAACAAAATTTTAACAATTATCAATTTTAATACATGGAAAAAAAATTAATTGGGTGATACAGCAAATCTATAATTTACTACGCGAATTCAACATCGATAACTAAGAAGATTTAATGGTTTAACAAGCTAATGTTATTCAGCTGTCAACTTTGCTATTTTAACATAGAAAATTGACTGTCTGTATGTTACGACTGTAGATTTGCTGAATCAGTGAAGTTTTCAGCTGTGTTTTTTTCCATGTAGAGGAAATAAATAAACTTAAATAGAACTTAACTAGACTTTAATAGACTTAAATAGAAGATCACGGAACTTAGAAAAAAAGTGTCATGCCAATAATTTATCGCATTTCCAGCAACATTTCTCGTTAGTTCTAACAGAATTCAAAAGTTAAAAATGATATAACATACTCAAATTGAAGTACGAACGTGTTCCAATCATTATCATACGAAAAAATTTCGACGATATCGAATAATTCTTTGCGATAAACCTCGGTAAAAAATGCATCACAATAAAGGGGATAAGATTTTGACGGAATATTTTTCTGTAAAACTCGAAACTCCTTGCGATCTGAGACACGACGGATAATGGAATACGTATGTCTATCGGGTATACGAATGGGGACAATGCGCATAAATCTATTCTCAAGTTGATAGATATGCAACGTGCTCGTGGGAGCGAGCACCAACTGAAAACGGATCGCTGACCCGTTCTATTGTTGAGACATTTCCTATTATAGTCATATATACGCTGAAAAGGAGTTTGCAACACTTTTATGTCTCCACTGGTCTACAGTTCTACAGGATAAAAATGTACATGATTTCTCTATAAAATTAGGTATTGATATAAGTTCGATATAAGTCACAAGCTTTAGAAAAACATATTGAATTTTTGCAGTAAAGTGAATCTTTGAATAATAGTAGTATCTTTGAATAAAAGTATTATATAATAAAGAAAGAAATTATGAAATTAAGTTTAATATTATATATATATATTTTTTTTTGAAAATAAAACATTTTTAAATGATTAGGTACACTGAAAGAAAAGATTGTCTGCTGCAATAAATTGATAAAGTATGGCATTTTTAATTGACTGTAACAGCTACTTTTTGGTTGCAGCAGTTAATTTTTGGTTGCGTTAGCATATTCGCAATGTTAGTACAATGTTAGTACAGGATTTCAATAGGCTAACGCAACCAAAAATTGATTGCTACAATTAGAAATGATATATCATAATCAATCTTTTCTTTCATTGTAGGAAAATCGTTTATAAACAATTTTTTTGTTATAAAAACATTTATATAATTTTTTTTCTCCTTTTCTTCCCCTTTTCGCTTTCTCTTTTTATAATTTTTTTTATAATCTCTTCTCTTTTTATAATTTGAGATCTTACTTCAATCTAATACTGTAATTATTTAATATATTGCGGCTATTGACTGTGATGATTATTTCACTTTCGTCTAACTATACGTACGTATCAAACACGCATTATTGAATCATCGTGCAATTAATAATTACGAATGATTAATGTAAGTTATTGCAATGTATCGTCGCCATCCGGCGACTAATTGACGCACTCGCAATTATTAATGATAATATTACAATCAATCATTATCACTAATTTTCGCGGAATGTATAACATGGAAATTATAGTTTTTACATCAAATTGGCTACACACAATTCAGCTCCTCATCACAGTTATCCTTGTTATCATGATATTTGTATGTAATAAATACATTAACGAAGTAATTTTAGCTATATTAAATGTAAATTAAAATCTGATATAATACATTATAATTATCTGTGCTATCAAATTGAACTAAACATATGTTTTCACAATTCTCTCTTATTCTTTGAAAATAACAATAAATTGTAGAAACGCTAAATTTTTCCCTTGTAATTTAATGCATACACGATTTTTCATGAAGATAGAGAAAGAATAGTAGTTTCTGTCTTAGTTTGAACTCATATCTATTAAAAAATGGGGGGAAAGACGCGATTTATAGACCGATATTTTCATACGCTGGTAACGAGCAGGAAGTAGCCGAGGCAATGGAACTTGCGGGTTAAGTGGATGAGAAAAGTTTCCCTAATATTACCGGGAGGCAAGAGAGAGATTGATCTGCAGGAGAGCTCGTCGAAGGGATTAGTCGTAGCCCGACTAGTCCCGTGCGATTTTCATCAGGTGATGGTACTTTAACTATAGATTAAAGGATTCGTCTGGTAACCTGAAATGAGATCCGCCTTCCCTACGAGACCGAAAACCCAAATCAGCCAGCAGATACGATGAAAAGGGGGTACATCATTGGCGACGAATTTACGGATAGTTGAAAAAGACTCCAGTCTGATAGAGTCCCCATGAACCTTTAACGAATTTACTCGGTTGCATTTGCGCAAAATACTACACGGTACACTAAATCGGGTCGAATTGCATTGGTTATCCTTTCAAGGAACGGATTTATGCGAGATTTTAAGCAATCTATGCATCGTATAACATGCCAATTTTGAATTTTTAAATTCATTCCAAAGAGAAATTATCAGAGTTGGTCGGAAAAGTCCAGTGAGTGGAAAAAAAACTACGATAAATTCCAGTTTTTATTCCACGATTTTATCCAATGGAATTAAATTAGCAAAAACTATTAAAAAGCGAATATATAATACTAAGATATATTCATATAACTTTATGCAAAAAGGGATATTTTTGCTTTAATTAGTAAATCAACAATTTATGAGTTTAAAAAAAAAACAAAATTAGTAGTAACGAATCAATAGTAATAAAACCCTATAATAATAAAATATCTTTTTATTATTTTATTTTAAGTTAATATTTAAAATACATTTTAAAATAAAAACATTGGAAATATAAATGTTACTAAATGTTATATTAATTTTTAACGAGAAAAATAGTAACAAAATTACAAATGTTTATTAATATAGATTGGAGCTGTAAATTAGAATATCGATAAAAAGATTTACTATTTATTTTATTGTTTTTAATAAAATAGATCAATTTTTATCGGTTTTAATTTAGCACATGCGAACTTTTACCAACTTTGACAATTATCCTTTCCTAAATAAATTCTCATTTTGATTGCCGTTCTCGTTCGATGTTCAATTAAAAGACAAGAGGCATGAGTTCGTCCGTACTTCTCAAATAACTTACAGTTCAACGCGTTGATTATTATAAATCGGACGTTAACACACCGGGTTTAATTTGCAAGGAGTTGTGAGACCGTTAGACGTTCCATCGATAACCGAGCTGATGACTCTCGCGAGAGAGTGCGAATGCCAGGAAGCGCCATTCGACATTATCGAGGCTCGCGATATCCATCAGCCTAATGGTCTCGCAGCTAAGGTGAACGTGTAAAGCTCATTAAAAGCTCGTTAGAAAGCCGCCACCGGCATACCAGGACGGTCGGGAAATCGGTCAGAAAAGTGGAGATCGAACGCGAGAGGAATAAAAACGCTTGAGATAAACTTGCGATTTACTGAATTTATCGCGAAATGCGCGATGTATACAGCAATATTTTTTTGTATAACGGCAGTGATTGTTGCTTCATAATCTGTACATATACAAGATCATTAGAGAGCTTATATATGTCCAATTTCTTATTTATTTTGCCGTACAACGCTATTTAAATTTCATTAAAAATAATAGATCCAGGTATTTTGAAGTTCACTAACTTTACAAATACTAAAATATAAACGCGTGACAATATCGATAAATATTTACCTGAGTCATGGTGTCGCCGTTAACTTTCAATTTCGACTGGAAATTGCTCTGCTCCAAGAGGATCATTGCGTTGTTAATGTAAACGTCCACGCCGTATCTGCCTGGTCTCCTGGTGATCCACAGGGGTGGGTTGCCCTCCAACTCGGAAGATATTGAATCCCTCAGCTCCTCGATTGTCAAAGGCCGGTTCGCTAAAATCAATAAAGACGATATCTTGTTAGTATTTTGTAGCTTCATAGAAATACCTTGAATGTTTGAAATGTTTCTTTTTTTATTGTTCTGAAGATGAATGCGTTTCGAAAGAGCTACTTAAAGTTCAGGCTACCACAAGGATCGATTTAGTTCTTCAAGACTGCAAAGTTTTTAGTTCCTGAAGATTTTTATTCTCGGTGAAAAGAGACAAAGGAAGAGAAACGGAGAGAGGGAGAGAGAAAGAGAAAGAGAGAGAAGGATATGCGAAGAAAAACGCTGAAAATAACGTAAATGGCGAATGGGATAGAAGAGCTGGAGATAGAGCAACTTCAAAAAGTCCACGGCGAAGCTACAATGCTCGTCGCTTTATTATCCCGTTACCGGAGAACGTCCTCGTAATCTTGAGGTTTTTTCTCTCATACGGACGGATAATAGAGAACGGGGGAAAGAGACACATCCCTACTATTGTTATTTGATGTGAAAGTCAGCTGTGATAGAAGCTTAATCGAATTTTTAACGAAAGTAAAATATTTTTTCTTACATTTTTTAAAATTCTCTCTCAAATTTTTTTGTAATGCATTTTATTAATCTTTTAGTTTACAAGAATCTTCAAAACAATTTTCTTTGGATATGTTTTGTAATAAATATCACACGTTTCTCTCGTAAAAACTATGATGGAGAAAAGCTTATAGAAAGATAAGATGTATGTATGTTGTTTGAACTTCAAACAAAAATCTTAAAAAAGACAAATAAAATTTAAAGTACTAAACATCTATAGGTAGAGAATTTTATTACATCATTTTATTAAGTAAGTGGCAATCAGATATAAGCCATCCTCTGTACTAAATTTCAACATTTTTCAGAATTAAAATTGCATTTTGGTGTACGAACAAACGGAAATTATTCTACCCTATCATGCTCTTATCTTAGCATGAGAATGTGCACGCCTCCCTTGAGTGCGACCTATTGAATATCGTGGCAACGGGTATTGTAGTTCCTAAGAACAGCCCTGTTCACGACACAAGCGAGTATATGTACCGTTCCTCGCAAGCTGGGAAAGTCCAATCTCCTCGAGGAAGAAAGCGACTGGGCGGTAGTACTGCCAACAATGACGCTCATTACGAACGCTAGGAACTGAGTCCCCGTTTCGTAAACCACCGGCCGTTTTATCCCGCGAAAGTTTCCAGAACAAGAAAGCTGACGCCGTAAAATCTCGTTCTCCCGACAGCGCGATGACGATTCGAGTGGCATTTTCCTTTCGAAAAATAATTCCCCTCGTCCGCGAGTTTCTTATGGAATTGCACGACAAAGCGACGTTTTATTCGCGACTCGAAAATTTATTTCGTGCTAAACATATCGGACAACATGCAATGTCTTTAATATCTTTTAGATATCTTTTAGGTTCTACAAAAAAATTACAAATGTAAAATTACTTTTAAACCTAGATAACTTACTATTTTTTCCTGTGATTCTTGAAAACAGAAATAGAATTCAATGCTTGGAAATAAACATGTATATCTCAAAAGATGTCAGATGCGATCCACTACGAATGAAAACATTGATTGATCAATCAAAGAAAAAATTTTGTTAATTGTCTAATAAAAAATAACTTGTTAATTGTCTAATAAAAAATAATTTATTAATTGTCTAATAAAAAAATGCTTCGAAGAATTTGTAGTATTAAGTAGACCGTAACTTTTATGATGTCTTTATGACGCCTTTAGATATATAATATATTGTCTGGAACCGCCAGTTCGAGGAAGTGTTACTTCGACACTTTTTAATTTCTTTGGATTCTTTCGCATCTTAAATTCTCACGTACTTTTATCTTCTCAAATTTTTAACGACTGCGTGAACAGTCGTTCGTGCACTGCAGACGGAAAAATACGGGAACCTTTTTTAACGCGCGTAACTACGTCGGCGGTAATTCGCACGCGAGGAACTCGGACGATTCGCGCATAAAACGGCGCACTAGGGTAATCGTAAAGTTTATGATCCACCGTCATATATATAAATCGCTGGAACTAGACGATTACGACATCGGGAGAAGTCGCTCATCACGTTGCCAGAGTAACGTTTGATGGCTGCGATTCGAGGTGTAAAAGTCAAAGCTAGTTGGCAAGTTTATAGCAAGAGTCGTTTTTCGCGATATATAACAATGCAGTTACGCGATAATACAGGATGAGGCTGTCAATCTATTGGGGACGATATTTTTTCCTCAGAGTATATATACTATGAGTATATAATCCCATTAATATACTATGTGCATATTGAAAACAAATTTTACGTATAATGATTCCTCTATCAGAAGAGCCGCATGCTCAGGCAGCTCTTTCGCGACGTACACCTTATTAAGATAAATTTCTTTCGATACGCCAATTCTTCAACGTGAAGCGACTTCTAGCTTATCCTGTACGTACATATCGGAGAAGTTCACTGCTCTAGTCTAGAATGGCGCATCGTGCCACGCCATATAACGCTTTTATATCTCCGTGACGCCTCGTCAATCATCCCTGAATGGTTGCATGCTTGATCATTCTTCCGCTAGGTGAGAAGCTTCGGAAGGGGATACGCGAAGCGCATACAGAAAGCGTTGTAGCTTCAATATATTACGAAACACTACGCGTGTGTGAATTTGAGTGTAAACGATATACTCGTTCCATCCTGCTGTTACTCTAAATGTCCTAATTTTTTAAGAAGAAAATCGAGTTTTTAAAAAATCAGCTAAAAAAGAAAAGAAATTTTGAAAATTGATTGTATTGTTCTTCCATTCATTTTTTTTATTCTTTATTACTTCTTTATTACAGATTTTGTTATATGTATTGTTCTCTCTTGGATGGTTAGAATTTTGTGAACTTATTGTATCTCAAATAGATTGTATCTCGAGTATTTATTGTTATCTCGAATAATTTACACTGTTAAAAAAAAAAGAAATTTACTTCCGTCACATGTAATATTTCAAGAAGGTACATTAAAGATGTTTAATGTTGCCAATGAAAATGAAAGTTATAAGTAACTTAAATTAACGTTTACTTATATTAAATTTCAAATTGCAAATCTACATAAAATTTAATAAAAAATGTACCAAACTTCGTAAAATTTTATGAAAAGTATATGTAATTTTCATGTACATGTACAAATATATATTTTTCAGTTGCAGATACATTAAATTTAATTTAGTGTCACAAAATTGAATTTGAATTGTGTAACTTATTAAACGCATTAAAAATTTCATGACACATTTTTACCAGTGTAGTGCAATGAAAAATTGCTAAATTAATTTATTAGATCATCCTGATAGTTTCATCACAAAAGCAGAATTTTTGCGAATCACCGAGTCGGATAAGTCGGGATGGCACGTTTATGCAAGGCACGTTTGGAAATTGGTTAAAAGCAGTGATCGTATTACCGCGGATCGAAATAGAGCTTTATTCGCGCCAACTGGATTTTTATAGCGCGTCTCCCGGCGCATTTTTCTTGTTGCGCCACTGGAGTGCTTTATACGGCCGTGATCGAGTCGCGCAGGGCGTATGTATGCCTTTCAGAGGGCAATATCTCTGGCTTCGGGTAGGGGCTCTCGCGAACATTTTGTCCCAGCAGCCGAGCCTTTCCGCTGCTCTTTCAACGAGAAGGGCGCAGAGAGGAAGGCGGGGGACTGCCCGAATGATTAAGCTGCCGATCGATTCGCATTTATTTTCTACCCCGCCACCCGTGATGGCGGGCGACGCAGGGCACAGGTGCTACGGCCGACCGCAAAACGAGAACAACTCGCGCAAAGCTGCTTGCGCATCGATTTATATCCCCCAACCCTCCTGCCTTCACCCTGACGTCTCTTCTGTCCCCTTTCGCCGTAGCCGGAATCCGACTTTCGAACATGCACGTCGGTTACGTCTGATGAGGACGAATTGCGTTGTTGCTTTATTGAATGTTTATTCAAATGCGACAGAAATGATATAGCCAGATTCTAGAGAAAAGTACTTCTTCAGAAGTAGGTACTTAGTATGTCTGTGAAATAATAATGATAGATAGAAAAAGGGAAAAAATGTAGCACTTCCTTTTTAATTTGTTGATTAAGGAAAATTAATTAATTTATCATTTGAAAAAAACTTTTGCGGGTAAGACAAATTAACTCGTTATAAAAATTTAAAGATTTAAAATTCGTTATTTTTTATCGTAATATTCTTATATAATACATTATAAGTAAATTGTTTGCTTATTTATTCAAAAACATCTCTCTCTGTTTTTAATTTTATTATATATATATATTTACTTGAATTTATATTAGAAATAAATCAAGGTAATGCACAGGACATACTTTTGATCGATGAATTCCCGAATAATTAATGCAATAAATTAATGCATATAATTAAAGACAAAGATCTAATTAAAGATTAAGAACTAATTAATAAATTAAAGAATATAAATAAAAAATGAGCTTTAATTTTCATTTCTGCTTCATTACTTATAATTTAATATTGAACAATAGTGATTAATTACTTATTTTATTAAGTATTTTGTTAAAAATATTGAAAGTATTGTATATTAAAGGTATTAAGAATATTAAAAACATTGTCGTATAACACTCAAAATAATAAGTAATTTCCAATATTAAATTGATACAATACACTAAAAAAAAAATTACAAAATTTTATTATACATTTGAATAGTACTAACGAAGTAACTGTTTACAATAAATAAACATTTATTAAAAAAAAATTATACTTAAATTACACAAATATATATATTTATATTTAGTAAATATTTCATTATTACTATTCAAATAAATATTTAATAAATTCAGTACTCTTTTTCAGTGTATTAAATTGAATTTTCATAAAAAATTCACACAAATACATACCTTATTCTTAAATTAATTTAAATTTTGTTTCCATTATTCTTAAATGTTTATCATATTATTGTTCATGGGAATGCACGTGGTATATATACATCATCAAACATATGAGTATTCATTATTGAACTGTCCTGCTGAGCTTAGTGATCGTGCGAAGATGTGTAACTATAGAAACTCTAGCAGACATCAGTAC